TCATCATCATCATCATCATCATCATCATCATCATCATCATCATCATCATCATCATCATCATCATCATCATCATCATCATCATCATTAATTATTATCATATTAGTTGGCTTATAATTATTATTACGGTTAATTATTGTTTTAATTGTTTGTATTTTTGTTGTAATTGTTGATGATGTTGTTGAGGCAGCAATAATCAAAGTTCTTCGCGAAATTGAATTACAGTTTGTCATTTGTTTTACTTTACAGTAATATGTTTGTGTCTTTATTCCCATTAAATTGGTGAAAACAAAATCCACAAATTAATTGATTTCGGTCAAGGATGTAGCTTTTCATGTTTAGATCTAGAAGAGACTCGTAGATGGAGCTGTCAATCCTGTCATTAAGTCAAATGGAATCATAGAGTAACTCTACTATGAACGGAAGACGCATACAATGTACCGGCCTATGTAAGTCAACCATTCACGGGGCTTTAAAAAAGCGAAAAGATAATAACATTTTAATAAGGTCGATAATTCATGTACGGCGGGGCGCGTGGAGCTCTTTACCGTTTGTAGTAGCCTCCCGCTGGAAAATAGCTTCAGAAAGGCCACCGTCCGTACTCGAAAACCCAGATTGTACAGACTGGAAAGCAAGCTACTCTGCAGTCCTACAATTTCCAACGTAATGTCAACGGGTTGAATTCAAATGAATGATGTATATAAGTTGTTTGTACAAAACTATAGTTTGTTTATTTTATCTCCTAGAGCAAACTTCTTTATCTGATGTTGTGAATATCGACAATATGGCGTTGAGGGTAATGTGCTTTACTGTTGTGTCTCCATGACTGAACTGTAAACATGGCGGACATGAGTATCGAACTTTCGTTTTATCGCTATCGTCTGCGGTCCATTATTTGAAGTTTCGGAATTGTCGTGAGCACTGCTGTTCTTCATTCAGTAAAATAACTTGTTTTATTACTTTGCTTAGCTGCATCGAAAGCTTGCCTCAGGATGAGGACTATCATGAAAGACTGGATCCATGTTGGCTTGGCCTACTCTCAACTCTTTCACTTTCAATTTCTCATATTTTCTCCCCGTCTCTGTTACACTGTAACACTCTGTACTGTCTGTGCAGTGTCCAGTAGGCTTCAGTAGGCCCTACAAAATTTTGGCATTTGCTGTGTGCACGAGCTGATGCAGTAAACTGTAGGCCCAAACTATTGAGAGTAATAACTAACATTTTACAAGCAATAAATAAGACAGAATAAAGTGTTAAATTTTATAAAATTAAAAACGTTTATGACGCCGTGAACATAGCTTGCAGGCTACGTTCACTACGCCCTGAATCATCCACCGTTGGCACAGAGGCACGACTGAAACGTTATGGTCGCTCTCTCAGCAGAGTGAATGAGGAAACAGCACAGGAATACTCGCGAGAAAAATAATGCAGCAGTGGTCCGAATGCAATGGAATTTACGGAGGGCGAAGGCTAGCACTGCAAAATAGCCTGGGTCTTCAAGGTTTCGCTCGCCTAGCGCGTGAAACACAACATCGATCCGTTTCCTGGGTACGGACCCAGCAACGCTCGACAATTTGAAAATAAAAGTCGTTCGCAGAAACAAGGGAGAATGGAAGAAGGCCAAACTACATTCAAGGCGCTGTGAACGTAGCCACAGTGTAAATTTAAATTGTATGTAGATATATATAAATTTATATAATATAATTCAATATACTGGTAAGGCCCTCCAGGAGAATTGCAGTCAAACATGTTGTATACTATACTATATAATAAATAAGACAGAATCGCTAAGGCTAAGGAGCTAGAAAAAAATTAAGTCTTAGATCAGATGGGAAATTTAGGGGAAGATGGAGGACGGGGGGGGGTGGTGGGGGGTTCAAAGGACCAGCCGGTGGTTCATCAAGGTTTGCTTGTCTGGTCGGCGAGCAGTGATCAAAACTTCACACGTCTTATAAACTACTGTCCTCTCTGATAGTGATAGTGGCTTGAGTCAGTCCTACTTATTCCATTGCCACCAGTGCTTGTATTTCATAGGACCAAGCTGTTCGATTTATTAATGATTAAAAACAGAAATGCTTGAACTTCCCCTTTGCTTCCACCCGTTGATGCACAGTCAACCAATGCCATCCCTCCCCTGTATGTGACAACGATTCAAGAAACTTATTTTCTCGGCCAGCCATGGTCTGGGCGGCAGGCTTTGGTCAAACTAATTTCACACGTCTAGTCTCTGGCTGTCCTTGAAAGTCTCTGTTGGAGCGCCGCTCAAGCACTTTCACGGGCACTGGTGAGATTTCGTACCCCCACTCCACACTAACCATCTGCACTGCTAAGGGCTCACAGAGATGGTGTAATATCTTCCCTCAAATTGCACCCATACTGACCCTTCTCACCTGGCATCATGGTGTAAAGGTTCTAAGTGGCGACTGAACCAAACTTGATAGTTTTGTATATCAGGGCTGAGTGGCATTTTCTGTCTTAGACTAAGTAAAAACACTCTAAAGGGAAGGAATTTCTCATTCTGTTTCTGTGTTAGACAGGTTTCTGTCTTATGGAGGTAATTATAGAGGAATTTGTCAAGGGGGGAGCAGGGAGATTCTGTTGTGACAGGTTTCCTTCTTTTACACAGGTTTTTGCTATTTAAAGCAGGTTTGACTGTATAATGATGGCTATCGTAGTAGACTGCTAGATTTTCTCTAGTTGCTCAAAGACGTACAGAGTGCAGTCATCTACATATGAGCTGATATCATTGGGGAAGTGAATAAATATCAACTCATTCTAAGTTCAAATTAATTGTCAGTACTACAAAATCAAGGGACATGTGTAACAAAAGTTTTTGCACAGCTCATAATTTTAGTGCCGTAGTAAAAATGGCTGCGACAGGTGCAAATTTATTCGCATCATTAATCAGAGCTAAGGCTTTATTTTTGCGATCTTGGAGCTAGCAATATATCCTGATCTTGAAAAAGCAATTTTATTTTGACACTTAGATTAAGTTAGCCTCTATTGATTCAATTTCTGTATTTTCTTTTATGCTTTTTTTTCTCCCCCAGATATTCATCAGTTTGTGCTGGGGCTGACCTGAGCTGAATCCTCTCTGATTTGAGTCTCCTGGGCCATAAGTTATAGCACTATGGAGGGTTTAAAGATTGAAGACTACATGGATGTTGTGTACAAGTGTAAATTTTGTCCATATACTTGCACACAGTCCCCAGAGATGAGTGTTCACGTGAAAGAGCAACACTTGCAGACAGTGCAAAGTTCACAAACAGATTCTACGAACACCCAAACTCATAACAGTAAGTCAAAGCGATACTGTGTTGACTTGAGAGAGCCGTAGTTGAAATACTGAAGGTACCGGTGTCAACATTTTCTGTGGGATACATATTTTGGCAGTTCAGTTAAAAATCCTTTTTTAAAAAGTTCAGTTCTCCATTTGTCTGCTTTATCCGCATGCAACTGAAAAAAAGGAACATCAGTGACCTCTTTTTGTTAACTCTGAATCCTTGTTAAGACAGTTATTCGTTCAAGTTTCAGCATCATAATTATTTACTGTCATCAATAGAAGTTATGTTTTCCTAAATTTCAAGGTATAGCGGTAAAACTTGAACTTGAACAGTTAAAAAAAAAGGGAGAGAGGAAACAAGCAGAAGTAAATGTTTACTTATATTTTGAACCATTTGTTTCCCCAGGCCAATCTCATACCAATAGTTCATCTTTGGCCAAAGCCCTGGATGCAGCTGTGTCTGCCGCTGTGGGGAACTCCAGCACTCCACCAGTGACGTCGGCGGCGTCCACAGCCAGTAACTACAGCCTGAACAACTCCCTCATCGGCAACAGCAGTAACAGCAACAGCTACGTGAACGGCGGCAGCAGTTTCTCGTTACAGGTGTCCGATGATGTGTTGAGTTTCACCTCTGATAGTCAAGCCTATTTGGACAAAGGTTTGACTTCAGGTGAGTTTGTCTGTGCACACTTTTTTTTTTTTTGGTTGGTCCCGTGTCCTGATTTTGGTGCCCATATTTGTTGGTTACGTAAAAATGTATTGATGGGTAGTTGGCGGGTGCTCTGGTGTGGTTTGCTCCTTCTTCCTATAAAAAATCTATCGTCTCTATCTCCCCTCCTTCTTTTTTATGTTTGTTACTCTCTTGTAACACCTCTAATCTTCGGCACTTATATGACCTTATTGGGTTGCAAGTGCCGTAAAATTCTTACTAGAACTGAAAATGTATTGACATGTTGCAATTTGTTATGATTTCTAGAAGAACAAAACAAGAATTGTTAAGTTGATGATGATAATGATGATGACATCTGTGCACACTGATCCTCAGACCACAGAAGGCTTACGTGTTCTTTACGAAAAAGCTTTAAAAAAACATAGAAAGATGAAATATGAAATCTGATAAAATCTCTAAGAATCAAACATTTGTTGTGACTAGAGTAACACTGCTAGTGGTTGCAGCAGTTTGAGCTCAAAAAGAACATAAGAAATTAAGTTGGCTCATAATTATATTTCTTCACTTTAAAACAATTATATAAATATCGTCTCATTGGAGAGATTTAAGAATAGATCTCTGTTGTTTCTCTACCTTTGATGCTCTTATCTCAGGTGCAGTTTGAGCTAGTTATGTGAAGAATTTTTTACATGTCAAGTGTTTTTGTAAGCACAGGATTTAACTTCACTGAGTTCTTCCCACCGTAACCCTATCCGTACGCCCTGGGGTCATTTTGTACCCCCGGAGTTGTATTCTTCACATTTTAGGATACTTCTAGTACGAAGATCTCTTTGAAACTTTCAGTATTTCTCAAAAAATCATTTTGACAGACTGCTATGCAAAGCGTACGGATCAGATTAACGAGTAAATTTCCTCTTTGAAAATGGGGGAAGTTCCCCACGTTGTAAGGGTACGATAGTAAAACATGATGTACTGATAGGGTTAACATAATTTCTGTTGTTCTGCTAGTGTCGTTTGCCCCTCTGGCAGTGCCGGCAGTGTCACAGAGCGGGCCCCTGACCTTGAGCAACACTTCGACCCCCGACCTCACAGAGTTGATTAACTTGGTCAAGCCGTCGGAGGAGAGCGGCGGCACCAGCGGTCATCTGTCCACCTCCGCGGGCGGCCCCCTCTCCCTGGAGTCTGTGGTACAGCTGCAGGCAGCTCCTTCGGTGCAGCAGCTTCAGCCGTTCAGCTCAGACTCGGGCACGGCGGTGGCTTCCGCAGAATTGCCGAATCTGAACTCCTCTCAGTCGTACACTGTCATGGCGATTCAGCTGCAGGGTTACAATGAAGGTGAATAAAGATGTTGCTATTCTTTGGGTTTAAAAAAAAAATCTTTTGCCATAGAGTATATTTATGATAGTGGTTGGTTGATGGGTGCTCTGGTGTGGTTTGCTCCTTCTTTCCTATCAAACATCTATCATCCTGATCTCTCCTCCTTCTTTTTTGTGTTTGTCACTCTCTTGTAACATCCCTAACCTTTGGCATTTATATGACCTTATTGTGTTGCAAGTGCCGTAAAACTCTTACTAAAACTAAGTATTTATGATGAACTTACTTTTAATTAACATTTTCCTAAAAGTAGAGAATGTCTTCAGTATTAGTTTCTTTTCTGTATTTCCTTGGCTATAGGTATGCCTGCTTTACACCAATTGTACAGCTTCATTAATATATTTAAAGGATGTTGTGGTCAAAGTTTGTAGTTTTTGTTTGGTGCTGCCCTTAGTGCCACTTCAAGCGCTTTTACTTTATGATAATATCGCCGATAAGTTGTTAAAATACACAAAGTCCTGAAAGCAAAATTTCATAGGAGAGGGCAAAAACTGATTAAGAAACTGCAATAAAAAAACAAAACAAATTGGACTTAGTACACTTTAACAGCTGGCCAATGATATGCAACAGTTGGAAAAATATCCTTACTTGAAATTATGCCTTCCTCTCAGGAAACTCAGGTGGTCAACCCCAGTACGTTGTAAGTTCATCAGAACCGGCTGAACCTGTTAACATCCCCGAAAATGCAGAGACAAAGGTTAGAGAAATTTTCGTTGAAGGTTTCTTCTTTCTTTTTCTTCTTCCTCGTTCTCGAATTGAAGGTTGCAATTTAATGGGTATTGTTCATGATAAGTTCTGGAAAATAATATACGTTATAATTAATTGTAAACCTTTGTCTGTTCTTTAAATGTCTTGTCAGCTGCTTTGTGAAGTAACTCCTCATTGCTTTGATAGCTGTTTTACATCCTACTAAATGGCATAGGCAGTTAATTTTAGTCTAATCTTCCCTTGGCTAGTGCTTTCAGTTTCTGTTTTTCTCCATTTCTTACAGTGTAATTGATGAAAAGCTTATTTTTTCATCTTCGGTTTTTCAAAGTTTTGTTCTTGAGTACAATGACATAGTTGAAGTTGTAAACTTGAAAAAAAATTCTGTGTTGATTTAAGTTTTGTCTTAAATAAAAGAAACTACTTACGGAGTAGATTTTATTGTTCAGATTGCTTCTCACAAATTACTTCAAATACGAAAGGAAAACAGGATATTCTGTATTTATAGGAATTCCTGCTTTGCGGCCTTTGCAAGTTGGCCTTTACCTCCATGGAAGACTGCCAGACACACATGCAATCGGAGCACAAGGAACTGATGCAGGGTACAGGCGTCAGTATTGGAGTGCAGGTCAGTGAGTGAGTCGATGAGTGAGTGAGGTACTAGGTTCCTACTACACAATCTGTTTGTGTCATTTGATGATTTGTAGTTTTGTGGTTGTGTCTCCTTCCTTCCTTCCTTCCTTCCTTCCTTCCTTCCTTCCTTCCTTCCTTCCTTCCTCCCTTCCCTCCTTCCCTCCTTCCCTCCCTCTCTCCCTCCCTCCCTCTTTCCCTCCCTCCCTCCCTCCCTCTACTGAAAAAGTACTTGCGGGTTACAGAATGGATAACACTCTTTTTCAGGTTGGAGGGGCAAAGAGAGGCAGGAAAAAGAAGTCTGAAATGCAGCCTAAGATTAAAACTGAACCATTTGTTGATCCCGATGACTTGGAGTGGCTGCCGAGTGTGTCAGAAGGCACCAACACTACTCACCCAGATGGACGCGTACGGCGAAGAGTGAAACCGCCGAAAGCTCTGAAGGACGACTATGTGCTGGGGACGCGCCCGAAGAAACGGCAGCATAAAGTCGCTGCTGCCCTTGGTTACCAAATTTTCTGCCCCATGATGAGCTGCAAGGCGAGGTTCAAGACCGATGAAGGTTTATTTCCTATTTCAGTTGTTGGTGCCAGGGTTCTTGCAAGGCTCAATTTTCTTATCACCTGAGTTGTGAAATTATATCAGTACAGATTAGTTACTTAATTAGTTTTTTATGACTTATAGCTGACAAAAGTGATTTTCATGTCTTTGAAAACTGAGTTTTGATTCTTAAAAAGTATTTGGAAATAGTTTGATAGTAAAATAATGAAGTGACATACCGAATTACAGAATATCCAAAAGAACGGAAAACTGAAATAAAGCTTAACAAATCAGGAGTTAAAAAAATTTTTCTTGTTGAAATGGCATTAAATGTAAAATGCAATGAACTGAATTTCCAAAGGAATTGCTGTAAGATCCTATGAGCATTCTTATGAAAGTTAATGAGGGAGGGAGGGAGGGAGAGGGGGAATGGGAGGGAAGAAGGAAGGAAGGAAGGATGGAGAGAGGGGGAATGGGAGGGAAGATGGAAGGAAGGAAGCCTTTGCTTATTACCTATATTTGTATGAGCCATTCATTTATTAATTCATGTGTCAATGAACGTCGGCAGGTCTCAAGGTCCACGTGGCATGTCATAATTTACAGGACACAGCATTCACATGCAAAGAGTGTCAGATGCCTCATGAGTTCTGGAAGCATCTACGCATGCACTTGTGGCGGCATCATCAGGTTTGTTGTTGTGTGTAGATTTTTTTTAGGGGAGGGGGATGGGGGTGGGGAGGTTTGGTGTATGTGCAAGTGAATGTGTATACAGTGTGTATGTTTGTTCATGAGTCTATGATGTGAATTTTTGAATTTATGATTTGTGCATTGTAACAAATTTTTTTAATGGATTAGTGCTTATGAGTATGGATGTTTTTTTTGTAAAGCATTCTCTAACCATTATCCAGTCTCTTTTTTTATACAGTAGCCATGTGTACTTGAGAAACTGAATTTTTCAAATAATTGTGTTAATGATTCATGATTCAGTGACTCTAAATTTGAACCACTTTTCTTCTTAACACCTTACACCATGGAGGGAAAGAAAATGTGAATAAAAGATCTGAAATTACTTCTCATTTGAAATTTTAATGAAGTGATGCAAGGTGCACATCACACTAGGTTTTAAAAAATGGCAGCTATTGGTATTGATCTTGTTTGCACCTGTCATTTATAACTTTTAGTGACTGTGAATACTGTATAATAGAAGGAAAGCACTATTCCCAGTGACACTGGGGATAGGACCAGAAACTATTCCCAGTGACACTGGGGATAGGCCCAGAAACTATTCCCAGTGACACTGGGGATAGGCCCAGAAACTATTCCCAGTGACACTGGGGATAGGACCAGAAACTATTCCCAGTGACACTGGGGATAGGCCCAGAAACCACTGGCAATAGGGCCCAGGGCAGAGTTGTTCCCAGTGTCACTGGGAATAGATCCAGAAACTATTCCCAGTGACACTGAGAAATGAGAACAGATGGGCCCATTAGCCTATTGTTCCCACACTGATCTACATGGGCATGATGATGGTGATGGGTTACTAAATACTAGATCTCTAGACTATATCTAATTTAGATCTAGATTGTAGATCTAGATCTAACTAAACTAAAGTAGATTCTGGTGTGAGTGTGAGGGTTTTTTTTTTAAGAAAAAGGAATGATCATTCTATGTTTGCTTGTTGTCGTACAGTCGTAATTTAAATGTACGTGTAGATCTAGATTATCTAGATCTAGATCTTCACAGGCTACGGATTTCGGAGACCACAGTACAGGACAGATAGAAATCATTCCCAACTCTTCTTCCTTAAACAAGATCTAGATCTCTAGATCTCTATTCTACGGTCAAGTCTAAGCCCTATGTAAGAGAAGAGAACAAAAGTACTGAACTCAGTGAACTGACTGAAGTGAGAAGAGAGTCTTTCTAGGCTACAGTGCAATGCCTTCTGATTTTTTAATGCAAAAGAGTTCCCTTGTCACTGGGAATAGTTTCTGTACCTATCCCCAGTGTCACTGGGAATAGTCACTTCGATAATAGAATTTTGAAGTTTAAGATTGTGCACAAATGCTACAAATTGTATAAGTTTTCTTGTGCTGTGACAAGAAATCTTTTGTTTTGCACATTGATACTGGTGAAAAAGGTTATGTAATTTGGTTAATTGTGTTGTGTGTTTGTTATCTGTACATATTATATTTGTGAAAGTTTGTCACTTTGGCCGCCTAAAACTTCGGAACCACTTAACTTTCGAATTTGACAAAATTAATGGTGGTTCAGAATCCCTTAAAGGGTGCATAGTACCATTGAGGAGCCTGAAGTCACTGTAGTTTAATTTTCAGTTTTTTATTAGTTTCGTTTAGATCCAATCCTGGGAAAGTCCGTCTTCAAAGACGCCATTGTAAACAAGTGAGGTTTCCGTTCAATAGCCGTGCGCCCTCTTTCCAGGCCTTTGGAATTCTGGGGTGTACAACCACGAAAGCGGAACAGAGAATCAATCTATACATCTCTATAGACCTTCTAATTTTTTGCATCTCTCAGGATTGATTGCTCCATTCCAGCAGAGTGTAAATATAGTTGGCCAATGACTTTCAGTTCATGTTAATGCACCGATCATTCCTTTCATCGAAAGGGGGCCCAGCTAGTGCACATTTACTTCTTTTCAGTGTGGTATCATTTATACCAGTTGCTTACTGAATGCTCCTGTGAGATGATTAATCTCTTAATCTTTTCTGTTCCTGTAGCCTTAACAGTGGCATTTTTCTAAGGCTGGTTTGTCTGGATCGATAATAACATCTAAGGCTGGTTTGTGGGGGTGCAGTTTTTTCCCTCACATGTCTTTGTAACACACTTGGATTACTCCATGACCTGTTTATTTCTCTCTCAGGTGGATGTTGATCTTTTGACTTGTGACGTTTGCAATTACAAGACAGACACTCCTCATAAGATGTCAGTTCACATGGTAAGATAAGAACAGCAGAATTTGTTTAGTTTGGGGGGGGGGGGGGGGGGGGGGGGAGAAGCGGTGTGTTTTACAGGAATAGGATTGATTTTTAGTCGAGATAGGAAGTAAATGGCCGTCTGTTTTTAGACTTTATTATTAAAGAAAGAAACAAATATCAGTCTTTGAAAATAGTGGACAATCAGCATTTATTCACTGCTCATGCTAATGCGTGCTGGTTCACATTCTTGTATATATGTGCAGTTACACTTAAGTAGGGGTTCTGAGGGATAGGCCTACAAGATGATTGGCCGTACTGAAATGCATGGCACCTCACCACTTGCCTGCTCTGAATCACTTTAATTTTAATGAATATTTGAGAGTGATAAATATTTTCTACCTCTTCCTTTAATTTCTCTTCCACTTCCCTTACTCGGTATCTGATCAAGTTGTTGTTCTTATGCAGTTGCGAGCGCCGTAAAACTTCTACTAAAACTAAAACAAGTTTTTTTTTTTTTTTCTTCTTTTTCTCTATTTTTATATTTCAAAATGAGGTCGAGGAAGATGAATCGGAGATTTTATTTCTTCATTTCTGGATGATGTCTGTTCACATTTGTGTTGTTATTCCAATAAGTTTAGAGGCTTTTTTCTTATAACAGGAAATTCACACTGATGTGAAACCGTATACCTGTAATCTGTGTGGTAAAGGATTCCGCCAGTCGTCCCAGATGAAGAATCACCAGGTCATACACACAAGTCAGGAGGGCCGTGATGCTTCAGGACATTGGTTTGCCTCCAAAAAATGCGACGTCTGTGATAGGCTATTTGCCAACAGGTAAGACGACATAATGAGGAGTATTCTAAGAATTAAGTGGCATGATAGAATAAGAAATGAAGAGCTGTGGGAAAGGACAGGTCAAAAGGATATAGAAGTAGAAATAGGACTAAAAAAGTGGAGATGGATGGACACACCTTCAGAAAGCCCAGCGGAAACTTCACAAGACAGCCACTACAGTGGAACCAACAGGGAGCACGAGGCAGGGGTAGGCCACGGGAAACATGGAGAGGATGCGTGGAAAGGCACATGAGAGAGATGGAGCTCACTTGGAACGAGCTTGGAAGGATGGCCCAGGACAGAGATAAATGGAAGGAGCTTGTATGTGGCCCATACCCTGCCAGGAGTGAAAGTCATTGATGATGATGATGAAGATGACATAGTGTTGTCTAAAGTTGTCTTTAAAATATCTTTTGTATTGGTTAGATTTGTGTATAGCTTTCGTGGTGGGATGGTGATAAATGAAAGACTTTTCTTTGCACCACATAGAATGAAGTTGTGCGATAAAATTATAAACTGAACATTTAGGAGGAAATACAGATGATGGAGAAGATTTGATAAAGAAATACATTCCTTACAACTGACAATTTTTCCACATTTTCTTCATCTTCCCAGTACTAATCGCTAGTAGGATAGATTTCTTTTATGTGGCTATTATGTGCATATATCACCAGGAGAAATTCCAAAACAGAATTTATCAGTTCTTCTGGGTTTTAAAAATCTTTGTGCAGCTTGTTATTTTTGTTTTTTATTTACTATTTTATATTATCCCCCCCCGCTCCCCCGCCCGCAGCAAGTGCTTGAAAAAACACAAAGAAGCTGTCCACACCAACTTCAAGCCGTTCCAGTGCCTGTACTGTAACCACACCACTGCCAGGAAAGCCATGATGCAGCTTCACTTGAGGACCCACACAGGAGAGAAACCTTTCAAGTGAGCGCTCTCAGAGTTTTTGTAATGTCATGTTTATCCCCGTGTAGAGTGCAAAATGCTTTTTTTAATCTACCCTGTCAGATTACTGATAAAGAAATTAATAAATAAAAAAAAGAATGAGTCTGTGGGCTGGCTGTGACATTTTATGTTCACATTAAGATAAACTGGGCCATGGTAAAGAAAAGTTACAAGAACTTTTCATGAGAACGCAAGGAGCAAATAGGGTTGGATTTGAATTACTTGTCATAAAAAAAGCTCATATCTGTTTAAATTCTTCACATGAGGAAACAGGGAAAAAATAGGGTTACAAAGTAAATTTGGACTCTCCGTTTTAAAGGTGAGTTTATAGCATCTTTCGTGCATGACATGGCTACCCAAAAATGGCCCCAAAGGAAAGTCTTTGTAAAAAATCGTGTTCTGTATGGTGAGGATTTGGTTTCTCAATTTCTGTTTTTGTGTCCTACAAGTAAACTCCTGGTTCACTATCCTATTACTGTACCAAGAGTTTGGCTGTTTATGTGACAGCACTTGTGTCTTGACCTCTGCCCGCTATTAGACACTGTCAAAGAATCACGGGAAATACATTGAAAAGAATTGAGAAAGATCTTTGTGGCTAAGAAACCCAGGACCTTTTGGTTACAAACATGTGCTATCCTAACTACAACAAACTGATCCCTGTGGGTGGTTGGCGGGTGCTCTGGTGTGGTTTGCTCTTTCTTTCCTATCAAAACATCTATCATCCTGATCTCTCCTCCTTTTTTTTGTGTTTGTTACTCTCTTGTAACACCTCTAATCTTCGACACTTATATGACCTTATTGTGTTGCAAGTGCTGTAAAACTCTTACAAATACTAAAACTGATCCCTTGTCTGCTCTCCATACAGATGTGATATCTGCGCCTACACAACAGGAGACCACAACTCCATGAGACGACACAAGGTGAGAACACGCGGCTTGATAAGATTCTATTATTTTCATAGAGATGTAAGGACATCTGTTGCTCCCATGAAGTCATTTTATTTCCCCTCCTCATACTCGTATTGTTGAAAGACTACAGAATCAAAATGGGACTACTTCACTATCTCTACCCCGAGAGGAGAAAAGAAAATGTAGTTATTAACTGGAAAGTCAGATTTGAAGGTTTTTCTATTCCTTCTGAGTTGATGTGTTGACAAACTGGAAAGAAAAGAGGACAAGGTTTAATTCACAAAATTAAAAAAGTTTTAACTGAATCTTTTTTAGCCCTATCCATATGCCCTGGGGTCATTTTGTACCCCTGGGGTTGTATTCTTCACATTTTAGAATACTTCTAGCAAAGATCTCTTTGAAACTTTCAGTATTTCTCAAAAAATCATTTTGACAGACTTCTGTGCGAAGCATACAGATCGAATTAACGAGTAAATTTCCTCTTTAGAAAGTGGTGGCACAGAGTTCCCCACGTCGTATGGATACGATAATAAAACACAACGTACGAATTGGGTTAAATGATGGTACAGAGTTCCCCATGTCGTATGGATACGATAGTAAAACGGGACGTACGGATAGGGTTTAACAACTGATACAAGAATAGAATTTCAGCTATGACATGTTCAGTCACCTTTGTGACAGAGGAGATGTTCATTTAAGTGTGAGTGGTTAATTGTTGTGTGATTAGTATTGTCTGAACGTGTAGTTCAAATTATAATAGTGTGCAAGCAGGGCAGAAAGGAAAGAGACATTTTGCACTGCCTTGTAACCGTTGAACTCATATCAAGTGGAATTAGCTTCTGGAGGTTTGAATTCATATATATGGGTGAAGTTAATTTTGCTACCTTTTGGAATTGGTTGTATTATCTGTGTTCTTGAGGTACCTGCTGGGTGGGAGTAGAGCTCATATGCTTTTCAGGTTTTACAGTCAGCCATTCAACAGATTTCTATGAATCCATAACATTTCTCCAGCTGTAGCCTGTCCTGTGCTTCCTTTTCTAGCTGTTTCTATGATATCCCCGCCTTTTCCATTTCCGCTGGTAAATTGTATCGATGGGGCCATGAAAAATTTGCAATCTTTTCAACGACTGGTGGAGAGAATTAAGCATGGCGGTACCCATCTTCATTGATGTTTCCCATATATATGTCCCCAGATGCGTCACACAGGTCAGAAGCAGTACCAGTGCACTCTGTGTCCCTACACGTGCATCCAGAGTATCTCCTTGAAGCAGCACATGAAGCACAAGCATCCCGGGGCAGCTGGGGGGATCTTCCAGTGCTCTCGTTGTCCTTTCAGAACCATCAACCAGACCTTCTACAACAACCATATACAGGTACCTCCTCTGACCTCTGACATCTGACGCCACCGCTGTTTCGAATGTTCTAATAAGAAAGTCAGTTTGTATAATTTTGTCGTGGGTGGTTGGTGGGTGCTCTGGTGTGGTTTGCTTCTTCTTTCCTATCAAACATCTATCGTCCTTATCTCCCCTCCTTCTTTTTTGTGTTTGTTACTCTCTTGTAACACCTCTAATCTTCGACACTTATATGACCTTATTGTGTTGCAAATACCGTAAAACTCTTAATAAAACTAAAAAAAGATAATTTTGTCTACACATTTATTCAAGTTGAGGGGTATATTTTCTGCTAGAGGTAATGTGCTCTCCTGTCTCATGAAAGCAAAGTATCACATTTGATTCCTGCAGGCAGGGGTGTGGAGGAGTCTGATCTTCATCTCTGGTTTTTTTCACCTCCTGGTGCCAGAATAGAAGGGATGAGGTACCCAGTCTTTTCTAATGAGGGCAATAAAGTTTAGGGTCTAGTATTTTCAATAACCTGAGCGGTCCACATGGAGTGTACCCTCAGAAAAACAGATCTTTGCGAAGTAGGCAAAGTTTGTTGAACTGTTTCTAAATAAATGAATAATGTGAACAAAGCTGACTGAGCTTGTTTTTTAGGTATGGGGAAGATCATATATATATTGTGAGCATTTATTATTTATATTATATTTATTATTCACTGTCCTGTTTATAAGCTACTTTATTGCTTTCTCTTTATGCATTCTTAGACACATGTCGTGTTTTTCTCCTTTGCAGGACCACAAGAAAGGTCTCATCCCTGACAAAATTGTTCCAGCCAAACTAGATCTTCCCAAGGCTCGTAAAGTCATGGCCCGGTCCCACACCAACTCACACAAACACCAGGCTGGTGTCTCCGGACACACTGTGGTAAGTTGGGAATGCTAGGTAGTCAAGTGTTGAATTTTGATGAGCTACTTTTGGTTTTACATATTATCTCAATAACTGCATCATTTCGCTCAGATGCTACTGGATCGCTAACAACAACAACAATAACTGCATCATTTCGAAGGCCCATCATTTCTAACTGCCATACCATCTTCTGTACTTTGTAAGCCAAAACCAAGTAAGCAGCAATAAAGATTGTGTACATTATACAAATTTCTAGAATTGATGTTGGTCAAATGTATTTGATGCAACCACATTTTACTGAGAGTATTGGGCATGAAAGATGAAGCCATTCTTCTTCTTACCCTTTGTAAATTTCAACTCCCCAATGCGTTGTGTTGAGTGGAAACAAACTGGGATAAAGACAGTATCTTCCGCTTTGTAGACCGCCTCTAAGGAAATGTGGAAAAGATTGGGGGTTGTTGTTGTTTTCAAATCCCTTTAGCTGCGAGTATTTCGCTCTTGGCAGCGCAAAATTGGGGGTAGATGTATATGCAGTACTGAAGTAGTATGTGTCAATGACCGAGTTATTTTGTTGTCACTGAACAATAACCTTGAAAGTTTTAGAAGTGGTTGCTTTCAAATTTGTAAAATAACTTATGAGATTGTTGAGGAAGATTCTGTCTGGTGAGGAGCTGAATAAAGTTGTTACACATACACATCGATTATGTTGCTGACAATTATATCTTTGTAGTAAGCTACAGCTTTGTTCTTTCCCCATTCCTTTACAGATGGAATCTCTGTTGGTGAAGCACCCACAGTTCCACGCCGTTCTTCCTGGTGATGAGCCGAACACACTGACCAACATCAGCACTAACGCTCCAGTAGGCATCACCCCGAGTAACGCAGGAGTCCAGGGAGAAGTGTTCAACATGCAGGTTAGGCCCTGGGTGCAGTAGCTAAGTTAGCTAAGTATAGATAAACTTTAGTAACTTGCACAGTAAATATTATATAGACTCTAACATGAAGCATAGGCTGCCTTTTCTCAGATTTTGTGTCAAGTCCAAGGTACTTCTGTATAATCTCGTAGTATCCGAATTCATGTTTTTCATCATGATAACCGCCGCATTTCAGTTTTGTCATCATCTTTATCATATTCTTCATGTACACAATCGTGAGGAAACTTCTGTGGAGAGTGGAGAATTGAATTTAACAGGTAAAGATTTATTTTGATGGCAGGTTTTTTGGCATTGATGTATACAGTATATGTGAAGTTTCATATTTCTTCTTCTATTTTGTCTTTTTCGGTAATAACTTCAACTGGAGTTTCTTTAATTTCTCTGATTCCTCCCCCCCACCACAATACCCTTTTAGAAATTAAAGAATGAAATTTCTCTGAAACAGCATATATGAAAATATACCATCTGTGTGTTTTTGTTTTAGGGTAGTTCATTATTTTTTTCCCTTGAAAGTTAATCTCTCGGTCGATGTTTCTCAGGTGACGATGTTGCCCGAGGGTGATACGCAGGTGAATGCGGAGGACATGGCTCGTTTGTCGGAGTGTCCCGGTCTGATGAGGACAGGCGTGTCGTCCCTTCAGCTGATCTATGCCACATTGTCCACCATCAGCGAACAGAGCAACGCGGCACAGCTGGGTGAAGGGAGGTCATCGCTGTTGACGGCAGAACTCCTCGGTGGCATACACACAGCTGTGCTGAGTTCTATGCAGGACGGGGTCACTGTTCACTCCATCACCTACCACCTCCCCGGCCCGGACAGCAAAGAGGGTGTGGTCCCCCACGTCAAGCCTGAGGTCAACGTGGATGGGAAGGGGGAAGCTTGCGGAGGGGAGAACAACGGCAACAGCGCCACTGTCGTGGTGGATGAGGAGGATGTTGAGTCTAGTTTACTAACGAATGTCGGGGAGGGAGGTCCGGCTCAGACCTTGAAATCTGATGAACTGTTCCTGGTAGGTAGTGGAGAAGTGATAGATGTGAACAAACCTGTTGGTGACGTGGAAAAAATCAGTGCTCCCACTCTTCTAGAGGTGGGTACTGGCAAAGTGTGTACCGTGGTCGCAGAGTCGAAAATGAAAATGCAAGGGTCAAGCACCTTGAGGGAAATGCTTGAGGACAAAATGGCTGTAGTGGACAACTCCAACTCTGAGGTGAGCTTCATCCAGATGAATTTTATCACGGATACCGATGTGGAATCAAGTGCTGAATAAGCTGTTGCTTTTTTTTATAAAGTCCCACATCCTACTGAATTCATCACCATTGGATAAAAGATGAACTGAAGCAAAGGCTGAGATGACTTGCCAGAATGTTTGGTTTTCCTCTTTTGATCTACTGTTCACTTGACCATCAAGTTTTACTCTCCAGAATTCGGCTACTCTGAGGAAATTATGAATTTAAATGAATCAAAAGTTGATACAGTTGGGCACAGATAACATATGAACATGTACAGTTGGAAATCATGGATAGGTCATACAGTGTTTCATTCCCTGATTGAGCGGTATATTCTCTTTCTTTTGTTTTGACAACACTGTTTTCTCAAACACCTGTGCGGATTTGTTGAAACAGCCCATCTTGAAAAACCTGATCAAACTGTTCCTCCCACGAATTCAAATCAAAATCGCCCTACGCACATGATGGAAAACAATACGCCTATCTTAATGGAGAGTATCAGGTTATTTGAGTCCACCATGCTCGCCCCTGCACAATGTGATCATGATAAATTATACACTGCTGGTATTGAGATGCAGAATATCATATGTAAGGCATCGTGGTGAAATCAGGCGCTCGTCAAAATCGTGAAATCAAAGAAATTAGCATTTTTCTGATCGTTGGGCAATTGTTTTTCTAATTTTCCTTTTTTGGCTCAACACTTTTTATATCCTTGTAAAAACACATTTCTGTGTGGATTTTACTGAAAAACATCGATAAAAGGCAAAAAAAAAGTCAATTTTCAGTTTCCAATGACTCAACCACGGAAATTACCAAACTTTGGCAGCCATTTTCTCGCTAATTTCACCTCTGAAACCAGGTGACCCTGATACCCCTCAATCACAAATATTTCGACTTCTATTCAACATAGATGGATATTTTTTTCACCAAAAGCAAGACAAATGAACAAGCTTTAAGATGATACCAATAACTCCAAATGCCCAAAAATTGACGAGCGCCTGATTCCTCCGTGCGACACATTCCTCCGTGTGACACATATTACCTGTTGGCTATTGTGCGTAAGGCACAAGAACTTCCTATCTAGTCATGTGAGGGTGGCTGCTTGTTGTGGCTGTTCCAGTGGGTTGAATGGTGTGTGGATTATGTTTGTGTTTGCATATTGTGTGTGGTTGTTTTAACATTATGGTATAGATTGGGAAGTGTTGACCTAAGAGAGGTGTGTGGTCTGCTGTGACTAGTGTTGGTTAGATCATAGAGTCAAACCATAAGCTGTTGAAATAGCCTACTTAGTTTGAGGTGGTGCAGATCCTTTCAGGTTTTGAATAGGGAAAGCAAGTAATGTTTAACCCTCTCCGTACACCCTGGGGGTCATTTTGTAACCCCGGGGTCGTATTCTTCACATTGTAGAATACTTCTAGTGTGAAGATCTCTTTGAAACTTTCAGTATTTCTCAAAAAATCATTTTGACAGACTGCTATGCAAAGCGTTTGGATCGGATTAACGAGTAAATTTCCTCTTTGGAAAGTGGTGGCACGGAGTTCCCCACGTCGTATGAATACGATAGTAAAACACGACGTACGGACAGGGTTAAAAGCTTGTTTACTGTCTTGTATTTTTCTGCATCATCTCAGAAAATAGCTAAGTTATTTGTTTTACAATTCACGGGCATTGACTGAAGTCAGGAGATTGTTGTAATGTAGATGGTGAGTAGCCATCAAATGTTGAAGTGGGTGTGAGAGCTGGGGGGGTGTAGTTTGAGGGGGGATAAGGGAACTTCAGAAGCTCTATTGCTCTCAGTGTAAAGCATTCAAGTTATGTTTAGATAATTGGTCGCTTTTAAGCACAAGGGGGCTATCCCGAAAAATGCTGTTTTGAGAAAATCGAAGGTAAAGTTTGTGCCCCTTGTTCAGTTTCTTTAAAAGACAAGGAGAGTTTTCTCTATAACCAAACAAAATCAAACTTCTCCTATAGGTAGGGCAATGCCCACTTTTGGTGTTGGTCAAGATTTCTGGAAACCCCCAAAATCTGGGTTGGCCCGCTTGTCCTTAAAAGCGACCAAATGCATCCTTGCCTTGTGAGGTGATGACTGACAGTTTCAAAAAAAGTTTGTTTTAGTTCAGGGGACAGTTTAACTGTATTTTAACTGTTTGAGTTTGAGGTAAATTTTCTATTCTTTTGTTTCAAGAATTGGTTGTTATTATTTTTTTAAACCTTTTGAACAGATATTTTTTAAATTCTTGTGTTGGCAACTAGACCATTGACATGACATCAGTGTTTGAATTTGATTTTTTGACTACAACGCCTTATATATTTGGATTAGGACATTTGTCTCTAGATGTGTATTCAGAGCAACAGGATAGAAACAGAACACTCCAGTTGTGGATAGTTCAGAAGAATGTTCTGGTGGCCTACCTTGCTGTCACACTCAGGAGACAGAGACCTGTAACCGTGGAATGATGAAAGCAATGACTGCAATTGGCTCAGTACATTATTCTATTTTAAGGGTAAAATTTTTCACTGATCAAAATAAAACCATTATATTATATAATATATATAGTCTCCAATGAAGTTGAAGGCGACAGAGGGACGTCTCTTTCTTCCCACGATACCCAAAAGGGTGTAAGCGGCTGATAAAAGTAAAGTATATTATTATATTGTAACAGTAGGAAGATCATATGCTATAAATTTTACTTTCTACCCACACACCAAGGGTGTCATATGTGAATGGTTGTGTACTCCACAATAAGAGAACTTCTATGAAAATGCAGTTTTCACATTTATTCAAATTGTTATTGATTATTGATAGTTGTTGTTTTTTTCAAATTACAGTGGAGCCTGCTTAACAGAATAATATGGTTAATCCAAAAAAAGGAGGGGAACTGAAAAAAATTAAAAAGCTGTTTAAAAAAATCTTTTTTGTCTTTGAAAGAAAAGGATTGATTATCCTAAATGCTCTCATATCTGAACTGCAATTAATTAAAACTTCACAAGCAGCCCTCAAGTAATGCAAATCATAAAGAAGAACTTTCAAATAGTGAAATTTGCTGCAAGCATTTTGAATTGGAAGCCCGCACTGTTGGTACCTACAAGCATGGCACTCTATGCTATCGACAATCATGGTTATTTTGAGCAACCTCTTTAAACTGAAATCGTGGTTAAACTGAAAATTTTTTTTGCCGTCCCACAGATTTCAGTTTAAGCGCACTCTAATGTACTGTACACATTTCTCTTTTCAAACAGTATTATCATGATCATAGTGACCAATCCGTAGTTGTCCAGCAGATCCGCCAAAGATTGTTGTCTCTTTGCAATTTGAAAGTGGGGTGTTTTGTTTGTTTATTCAATTCTATGTTGATTCCTTGACTGTTACTGTTATAAGTTTTGTTTGTGCCATTGCAATGTTTGGAGCTGTGGTAGGTTATTTTTACCTGTGTCAGGTACAATTAATTCTTCTACCCACTTGCCTATGGGTAATGCAGGTCTAAATTTTAATAAATGTTGTTGTCATGCTATGAACCGGACTGGAACATTATCTTTATCTGAAACAGTTCTGACGCGTCTTTCCTCCACACTAACTTTTGTCATCAATAAATACTCATAAAGCACAGATAAATTTGACAAAGAATTATTTATGTGTAAAATCATCATCAATGCCTTTCTCCCCTGGCAGGGTATAGGCCACATACAAGCTCCTTCCATTTATCTCTGTCCTGGGCCATCCTTCCAAGCTCGTTCCAAGTGAGCTTCATCTCTCTCATGTCCCTTTCCACACATCTCCTCCATGTCTCTCGTGGCCTACCCCTGCCTCGTGCTCCTTGTGGGTTCCACTGCAGTGACTGTCTTGTGATGTTTCCGCTGGGCTTTCTTAAGATGTGTCCCATCCATCGCCACTTTCTTAGTCCTATTTCTACTTCTATATATCCTTTTGTCCCGTAAAATCATAGTTTATAAGAAAATTAATTCCAAAGGGGACAAGATCGAAGGTTAGAAAGGGAGAGTAAAACCCATGAGAAACTGAAACCAGAATATCTCTAGTTGGTGGGGAGAAGAGAGATGGCATCGTAGCTGCAGAAAGTGATACAATGTATTGCAGATGACAAGAAGACTAACAAGGGGGAGCTCTTAGTCACTTTGTCTTCCAGATACTGGTTAAGACGATAGTATTGAGGAGGAGGACTCAAGTTTCTGAGTTCTGTTGGTTGATATTTTGGGGAACTGAAGGACACTTTTTTGCTGTTTCTAGTTCGCTCGATTCGGTATGTTAAGGTTTTTATTCTGTTAAGTAGTACTTAATTTTGTCTATTTGTTTTTATTTTAAACCTTTCCCTGAAAGCAAGCCATTTTGATGACCCTTCCTTCTTCTGTGATTGTAATACGAAAGAAGAAATTTATTTAATTATTTTAAAATATTTTAGAGAAACTCTGATGTGTTGTAGGTTTACATCAGAATGCAGGGAAATAAATGTCCTAGTCTTATCAGACAGTTCAAAGGAAAAAAAAGTAATCTTAGCATGAAATATTGGTATCTGCAACCTTTGATGAAACTCTGGAAAAAAAGAGATGAAGAATTTTTCTATCTATGAAATGAGGCTACTGGTCAAAGCTTGTGATAGAGAATGAGGTAGATCTACATCTAATGAACTTTGGATGTGTCTGTAATGAAGTCATTTGTGGTTCTCATTATTCAGCAAACTGCAGGTATGTGAACACTGTCAGCATTTAGAAAGATAGATTTGTTCTGATGTATGATCTATACATACAGGTGCCCTCCACGTTACTGGGAAGTTCTAGCACAACATGCTGTGAACTGTGAATCCAGAATTGTTACAGCTATGGCAAATTGTAATTACTTCAAGTCTGATCAACACTGCTGTGCCAAGGCAGAGCAACGTATCTGCACTTTTTATGATTTTAAGTTTTATCGCACTGCCATTGGAAATGTGGGCATGGCCCTTCAGTTACGTCTGTTTGCTATAGTGAAATATCCTATTTGTAGTGCAGATACGTCTTCCTGCCTTTGACACACGATGCAGAATGGGTATTGGCGTCCATTTAAATGAAGATGCAAAAATTAATAAGTTTTGCCTTGGCACGGCAGAACAGCTGTCAATTCAAAAATTGAACAAACAACATGTGCCATACTTCAGTACAGCTTTTCTGCCACTTTTTAAAAATTATCTGCAGAAATATTTCATTTCAACATTATTCCTTTGACTTTGGTTTTGATAATTGGCAAATTTTTTAGTTTTTATAAACATTTTCGCCACATATTTCCTTGAAAAGCATAATGATATTAATATATAACATTTACTGTATTTGATTATTGTTTTTAAAACGTCTGTTGCTAGATGTTGTCCTAATTTTTCTATGCAAAACATGCTGCCTAGAGTTTGAAAGAACAGTATTTTATTTATTGACAGGGCTCAGAAAACATGTCCTACGATTTTGTATTTTTGACTTCTTTGTTCTGTTTATTTCTGACAGAAGTTTTCTCTAGGTAATCCAAAGAGGTTATAGGGTTATACATTAATGTATTGAGTGAGAAGGAAAACCACAGCAAATCTGTGAAAGAATGACACAGGGTTCCTGCGGCCTCCTTGAATTCATTGAGTCCTTGAAAACTCCTTGAATTTGCATGCAAGGAAAAAATCTCCATG